GCGAGAACTAGATGAGTCGAGCGTGAGTCACGGGGATTGCCGAGTCACGTGAGAGTCTGGGAAAAGGAAAAGGAAAGGGAAAAGATAATGGATAACCGGGTGTCCGTAACACCTACGCTAGTCAGAACTAGTGTAAATGGCACAGTCACAGATACGCAACGTACCATCCTTATCACCGATCTCAGCAGTCGAACGAGAGCATCGTTGTCCTTGAGAAGGTACGCCAGATAATGCGAGCGCGTGCTCACAACGCCGTATTTCATGGATGGAGGTCGTCCAGGATATGAATATTCTCCTGTCAGCGCTTCCATCGCGTTGTCAAACGCTGTAAAAAGCGAGGAATATGCATGGGGGCTCAAGGTGAATATATCGACTCCATCCCGGCCTCGACCGGAACCACCAGACGTCGCGTATCCTCGAAGATAGAGGATTGAGCCCAGCACAAACACCCACGCCATCTCTAAACCGGAAAACCGGGAGGAACCTTTATGATTGAAGTTCCAAGGTTGAGATGTTAGGAAACGAACCCATCCTTCAACGTTATCGGAAGTGGGAGCCGAAGCTGCGGCCATATCCCATCGTAAGGTATCTGGGTTGGCAAGAAACTTTGACGCGGCCTTCAATGAAAAGAAAGCGTTGGGAACAAGCTGGAATAAATCGCGTCAGGACATACAATCGATTTGTATCACAGAGGACAGCGACATACTGGTAACTCCGCCAGTTTGCAGAGTCCAGCTCTAAGAGATCGGCAAGACCTCATCATGGAGCTCGGGAGCTGCTGTAGATGATGCAAACACCATTGCGCTCTGGCCTCCGGATTGGAAGGCACTAGACAAGGCGGACACCAGTCATCGGATGAGAGAACTTCACCAGTGAGAACCGCCTGCGGCTGCGCGTCATCGGGATCTGACACTCCCACCATATCCATCCATTCTATCAGCTCCTCATCCCAAAAGCTCTCATCGTGAACGCGATGAATCACAGCACTGGCACTGCCATACTGGGATTGGACGCGAGGAGCCGTACGATCAGCGCCGCTGTTGGCAGATGTCCGCGGAACGTCGTTCATCACTGCCAGCGCTGCTGTTGGTATGCTGGCATCAATCCGCATGGGTTCCAGATCTTCAGCGTCGGCTGAGCGGTAGGAGTCGATCCACCAACGATCCTCGAACTCCACCGGGTCCATCATCAAGCCGTTTTTGCGGCGCCACCTCCGAAACTCTAAGCGCCCAAGATTGAACCAATGTCGTAGGTACTTGAAACAGTTATCCCGCCCCAAGGCAGTGGGGAGTCTCATTGGAATGCCATCCAGATGATACGCGTCGTCAACCATCTCGTCCCAGTCAGTCCAGACCGGGTCCAGGTCGCGGTACTTGGAGATATTTGCTGCGGTTTTGCTGTCAGTAGAGCCGACCACTGAAGGAAGGTTATCTTGCCATACCATGCGCCGTAGTGACAATTCTATAGACCATCGGTATCGCCTCCTTGTAAAAGACTTCCTCGTCCCAAGCCGAAGCATCGAGTAACAGCTCGTTACGACCAACGAAGTGCTCCTGGGGCTGAATGCGGTACGTGATCTTGCGCTTCAGTCGGGATTTTGCCTGCAGCATTGCTGGGTACGCGTCCTCATCCAGTTGGCCTGAAACACGGCTAAGTCTTGGTGGGAATATTCAGTACTGCATGTGAAACGCCTACCTGTCGCACGATTCACCGTACCAAACAAAGCCTTAAGGGTCTCCGTCATGTCGACCTCCTTGACAAGAGGCTGTTTGAGGAGACCAAAGTCCTGGAAGAATTCATACCTAGTACCTCTCAGGATGTTATGCATCACAACCGAGAACGAAGTTTGCTCACACTCTGGGCGGATTGAACATCCCAACCTCCGGCACAGACAGGGTCACCAAGTGCTGACCAAAATCTCTCAGGGCAGTAACATGGACTTGTCGAATGAATGACCGAAATCGGCGTCCAAAGTTCCTACATGTTGCGAATATCAGGTCTCAGTAGACAGGAGATCGATGAACGCCGCACTTCATTTTCTGCTCCGCCGGAGGACCCCGCTTATTCCATTGACTAGCTATCTCAAATAGCTGCTTGCGATCCTGGCGGGGCAGCTTCCAGAAGTACACAGTTCGACAGCGAGCTCGTTGACCAAGATATCCACGTCGATCCCCAGGTCGCATGCCAGTGCCAACAAGTATCATCTGATCAATGCCTTCTCGGTAGACAACGCCGCAAACTCGGAGCGCCGTCCACCTACGTCGACTGACGCTGTCTGGAACAGGTGCATCTCCTCTAATACGACCTTGTTCTTTGAAGAATCGTTTTAAAGCCTGTAGAAACCGACGTGAACAAAGCGCCAGTACATCAAACGACAAAGACCTGCGCACGCACCGACCATTGGTCCAGAAAGCTTTTCTCATGCGGACGCGCCTTCCAGTCGATTGGCGTCGGCCAGATACGGCTCATTTGCTGCCTGAAGAACTCCTGATGCTCGCGTGCATCCAAGGCCACGAAGTCTTCCACAACTCCTTTTAAGGTATCGCGGTCTCGAACACTCAGCACGATCGAGGGCAATATACCGTCTGCTATCTGACCGTACGACAGAGCTTGGCGAGACATAGTAGATGCGGGACAGAGTAGCTGCTGGAGGCGGAATAATGAGGAAAGAGAGATAGCGAGAAAGAAAGAATATCTTGTGGTGGATGTCAAGGAAGAGAGTGGGCCACGACAGCTCGGTAGCTCCGTCTAAGTGACGCGCCGCACCGCCTCTTCGTGAATCTGACGTATACATTCTGAAACACTTCACCTAGGACGCCGTCAATCCAAGCAACCACTCGGTACCGCACGCAGGGAGGCGAGGCAATCAATGTAAAACGACCATCAACTCGTAAAGAGTATGCTAGCGTACATCCGGAGCAATGATCTCCGGTTCTGTAGCCTGTCATGACTGCGTAATATAACTTCATGTGGATCTGTAAGTGGAGACAGAGGAGCAACGCGCAGTGAGGTTTTAGACTTTCAGTCGCGCGGTACACCCTCGTCAGAAGCCCAACACCAGACAGGTCGTGCGTGCGAGTACCGTAAACCATCGAGTAGATCCAGATACTGTTCACAGTGATCAAGTGTGAATATTAAGGACTCCGGCTTGAACAGCGCGATCCAATGAAGTTACAGTCAGTGGCGCCAGTACCGAGCATGACAGTTGACAGCGCGTCTAGGGTGTAAGTTGATGGACGGTTAAGCTTGTGGTTTCTAGTCGCAGCTGCGATCGCAGGCCGTTGAACCGATCATGTCTGCACCCTGCGTTCGCAAGGCTTTACAGGAAGGGGGGCATACGGCGTGGCGACCACGGAAGTACATGAATGCCGACAACGTGCGCGGTGGCCGACGAGGCGATGCCTGGTGGATTTCCAGACGTTCTGGAAGTTCCACGGCAGTCCGTCGAGTCAATGTAGCAGGAGCTGCCGTGGGATAGAGCGAGCCAAAGGTAGCCCCAGACGGTTTTCTGCCATGTCGCCATCGCGGCACGCGGCAACTTTTCGCTTCCCGCCGACGGGCCGCTTCCGACCCTGCGGAAGTTATGAACTTACGCTTCTCGTCCGACTTCCGACGGCTCACACAAGATCCCGAAGGATCTGGAAGACGCGCATGGCAACGAACGTACAAGGAACATCCATGCCGAATGACGTTACTCCTCAGAGGAAAATAATATATCGTACAAACGGCCTTGCGAGTCAAGTTCCAGTGCCTGCTCTATGATAGCAAAGAACTTACGAAAAGATGCTAAATGTACGGCAGGTTCATAATCAGTGGCAGAGATAGTGAGGCATCCGCATAGCAGTCATTCGCATCTTCGCGACCCCACCAAATACAGGGTGGGCGTAAAGACGGCGACACAGGATACCGGGAGCAAATCACTTGCCGGGTTTGCTTGCCGAACCCAAGATATTGGCCCGGGTTGACCATCTTCGTAAGAGATAGGCGAGAAAGAAACATACCTTGCTCTAGCATCCAAACCCAAAGCATTGGTTCGAAGTTGAGTCTGGGAATGGCCGCGGGTCTTGGAAAACAAACACGCTCGCACTCCTGATCGGGGGCGCCATGAGAGACCATCCAGTAAACGAAGTCCGCCACCGTAGTACAGGCTCGGCTCTACCGAAACTCTACGTTTCACTGTATCGTCAAAAGATCGGACGGCAACGTCGATAAGACGTAATGTCCTCACACGATAGCTTGCGGTTTACAATTGATCAGCAGGGTAGTTGAGGGCAGGCGCCTTGCGCTGATCAACCTAGATGTGCGCCAGAGCGATGGTGGTCGAGAGGGAACGTGGAACGAGCCTGAGCTTCTCGGCATTGCGACCGATCATTAACGCGGAGGGGCCAAGCGGACCAGCTTCCTGAGCGCCCACAGCGCCCGCAGACGCTCGTGGGTATACACACACTCACCTACCGAAACATTCAAGGACCTGCGGACAATGACTTCCCAAAGCGCGGAATTCTCGTCTAGCTTGGATATAGTTTCCGACTGGGGCAGATCGGCGCGGGGACGCATCATCCTGACATGCGAGAACGGGGGAGAGAGAGACAACATCGTCATTTGGGGCGTCAAACAATACAAGAAATACATGCAGAAGCGAGACAACATCTTGGGAAGCGGCAGAGGCAAAGAACTCAACCCATCTGGCGGCCTACTTCTTTGCGACGTGCTGCGCGCCGGCGGCAAACGCGTTCTGCAGCGCCAGTTGGAAGGTCCGGACCAGCTCCTCCGTTTGGGCTTCGGCCTGCGCCTCCAGCTCTGGAAAACAAGTGCGTATCAGACGTGTCTCCTGTAAGCGCTACCAAAGAACCACGTACTATCGAGGCGATCGGTGACAGCCTTGATGCCATTGCGGATGTTCATGTCGAGGGCTCGGAGCTCTTGACGTATGTCGATGGCCAACCCATCCATCTTCTTGGCTAGCTCATCGAGCGACTTTGCGTGGGCGGTGCCGCGTTCGTTCGCGGTGCCGAGAGCGTTGACGACGTGCGCGACTTCAGCCGCAACCTCGTGAACGTTTTCGGCAAGGATCTCGACTTGAGCCAATATGGCGCCGGCATACACTATATGATGTGAAGTAGATGAGCAACGGCGCGCGGAGGACGTAACCACGCGCTAGGCAACGATACCTCCGGGATGGTCGTGATGACCAGTGTTGGCGCCGCCGGCACCGGCCTGAGCGCTGTCCCCAGACGAGGACGGAGGAGGAGGAGTGCCCGAGGAGGGCTGAGAGGAGACGTTGGTGGCGGTGTGCATGTGGATGTCGGACATGGCGAAGACAGTTGTGGTAGCGGCGTAACTGCGAACGCAGGTTATATACAATCCCAGGAGCGGCCGAGATGGGCGCTCGGACAGCAGCCCGGCAGTAGCCAGGTGCCCGTGAAGAACGCGAGGACCGGTCCACCACCAGACGCCGCCTCGTTGTGGAACGCCTCCTTCCGAAGTTCAGTCAGCCGATTTCAAAGGTTGGAAGGGGCGTCACGCACCGTCCAGCCGCGGTCTC